GAGAAGACTGACACGAGGCCAGCTTATCTTGTCTGGAGTTTTTGCCTGAGCCCATGACTGCTGTGAGGATTTGGTGTTTGGGGATGTGATCGAAGGCTGCATGACAGCTGAGTGCCTCCTGTGTGTCTCACTGTGCCCATTGCAGATCCCGTCTCAGGCTTCTCACCCTGCAGGATAGACGATTCCACAGTTTAGGTGGAGAAAACGGAGACTTGATAACAATCAGAGCCAGTCATTGGCTGAGCTGGGGTATAAAGTTTAGTTCTTCCTCCTCTAAAGCCAAACTCCTCGACAGACAACCGACTGTCTGCCGTTCTGCAACCCATGCTCCGCTGTGTTTGGGACCTGCTCCTAGGCCACTGCCTTGTTTCGCAGTGATAATACCACCAGGCGGCCCTTACGGGAGAGTTTAGGTCAGGGTGAGTTTTTGGCTACCCACTGAGTAACACTACGTTTGATTATGCCAGTCTGATTCCTTTCTTTCCTGTTAAAGAGGCATAGAGGAATAGAGAAAACTAAACTTTAGATTTGAATCCCAGTTCACCATTTACTAGCCATTTAACCTTTTGCAACTTGCTAAGTAACCTTCAAGACTAGAACTGCTCTGTGGAGAGAGCCTCTTGCCTGGATCAGTGTGTCTGTGTAGTAGAGAGAGTAGGAGTATGGACTCGCTCCCCTGCCTACTGTCTGTTGCTTCCCTTAGCAGCACTGAGCACGGACTCGGGGGCCACCCTGAAGTCTGCAGGCTGGTGCGTGAGCCCTCCTGACAGGTGCCAGTGGTGCCCTGGGCACCGGCCGACCCTTTCAACGAGTAGCTGTGACACTTTTGTGTGAAGCCACAGAAAATCGGTCCTCGCAAGCAGCCGGGGGGTATCTTGATTTCTAGGTCCCTGGACTTCAAAAATCCCCCTTTAGGCCTGAGCAGGTCGCCATCTGGCTGTCCTTGGGGCTTTATGGCAGAGGTGTGGCAGGGGGTCAGATCTTTCACAGTGGGGACCTGAGTGCTTCCTCCCCCTCCACCACCTCCTCCGCTGCCCTCATACTTAAACCCCCATATTGACAACACAGGAGAGAAAGTTCCCGAATTAAGCTTCGACTCGAGATAAGTTATAGAGAGTTCAGTCTGTGACCTGCGAAGAACCAAACTGACCGTCAGCATAACTAACAAGCCAGACCTCAGTGTGAGCCCTGTTCCACCCTGGGTGCTGGTAATCCTCTCACCCACCCAGAAAGGGAAACGGCATCCCCACTTGCTAGTAAGGAAAGAGGGGCTCAGAGAGTGGAAACAGCTGGGGGGTGGCAGAGCTCGGATGTGAGCCAGGACCATCCGCCGTAGCCTGTGTGCTCCCCTGGAAGAGCCTGGAGTGAAGCTGCTGACCTAAAACGTAGCTGTGGCTCCCAGAGTTTTAATCCTGTGCTTGCTGGGCTTAACATTTCCAAGAACAGTACAATTTAAAAGCCGGGGGAGGAGGTGGGGAGAAGGGGTGGATAGGAGATGCAAGACCGGGTTTTTAAACCACTCCCATTTACTTTCATCATCATTTCATTAAAGAAATGACATTCGGGCACCAGCAAAGTAGGACGGCCATACTTGTGGGATAAGGGGTAATTTTTTGTTCATGCAGCCTTCCCAGTCTGTGCATCGAGGACTCGGGGAGGGAGATGGCCTTACGAGCCCGTTTGGTCCCCAGCCCTGTCATGGCTTCTCCCACCTCAGCTTTCCCCAGCTTCTGTTCTCCAAACTGCACGTGGCCTTCATGGGAGCAGTTTGGTTCCCCAGTCTCCTTGAACAGACCAGACAACTGCTTGGCGGGCAGACGAACTTGCCAGAAAGCTGCCCACCGCCTGGTTGGCACCACATACCTCTTTGTGCTCTGGACCCCAGACATGTGCAGGGGCACCTCAGCCAAGCCTGCCTTTTCTGAGTGAATCTGTTTATGGATGAAGGGATTAAATAGGCTTTAAACTCCACTTAAGCTCTTCTTGTCTCCGTAGGAAGGGATTTTACAGTACAAAGTTACATGTTGAAAGTGGGAGCTTTGGAGCAAGACAGACCTAGGTCTCTAGGTCGCAGCCCCTATCTCTCCCAATTACTAGCCACGCAGATCTTCTCTGAACTTCCATTCCCTCGTCTCTAAAACTGGGGCAACAGCATCTCCTACCTGATAGGGTGACAGAGTGAAATGAGGCAGTAGATGTAAGACACTTGGTCTGCTCTGTGATACAGTGAGTGGAAAGCAGTGTAGAAGGGTTGGCATCCTCACCAGGTTGTTACATCTAAAACCATCCTCACATACTTCATAGAACGTGCCCGGCACATATTAAATGCTGAGTAAGTGATTGCTGTTATGATAATTATAGAGAAATTAGGAGATCGGATGTGCTGCCGGAACTTAGTCCAAGAGCTGAGATAAGAAAGGGAAGCACTTGCTAGCATTTTCCCAGATCACTGACACCTTTCCTCCCAGAAGACCAGCTCAAACGCAGGAGCCGTCTCTGGGAGCACTGAGTGAAGGCTCATCCTGGGAAGACTGGGCAGTGAGGCTGGAGGAGTTTGGACTGAGTACCGGTTCCAGCTCTCAGCAGCGCTCCTGTGGGGCAGGTGGTCCCATCTCCAGGCCTGTTCCCTTGTTAAATCCTCTCTAGATGAGACCAGGCAGTGGCGGGGGTGGGGGGTGTACTCAGATGTCACCCAGCATGTTAAGCCTGCAGGCTAATCACATCACTGCCTCTCATCGTGCTCAGCAGGGGTGGCTTTGCCTTCAAGGAGGGCTCTGTGGTGGGTGGGAGAGAATCCAAAGCCAAGGTTCTCTCTGTGGAAGAAAGACCCTGATTTCCTTTGTCCCTGCCCGCAAGGGAGAAGCAGACAGACCCGTGGGCTGTCCTGAGATGTCCTACCAGAAGGGCTGGAGCCAGTGCTGAAGCTGGAGGGAGGGTGGAGGAGCCTGTGGGAAACGTCGGCCTGGCATCCTGGTGGGAGACCCGACCCGGTGGTTACCACGGTCATCATGCTGGCGTCACAGAGTGCTGTGCGCTTGCTTTGCCCTTCTGCGGGCACACTCTGTTCCTCTAGTTTATTATGGAAAGGAGACTACTGGCCACTGAATCTCTCTGCCTCCTGACAGCACTGCTTTTCAGCCGCCATGGGCCACCTTCCTGCTGTGATGGGCATCCGTCTGAGGTTGTCCTCAGTTCTCCTCCCAGGAGAACAGTGTTGAAAAGGTTCTAACTGGTTCCAAAGATTATCTTAGCAAATCACACATCACCATAGTTTCCCAGCCTTCCCTTATATTTCACAAAGGACCTAGTGTCTTAGATGGTGAGGTTCACCTGTCCTCTCTGTCCCCCCATCTTCTGGTGGTTCATCTCCTGAAAGCAGCGGGGAGAAGGCGCTAGGCATGCCGGATAGAGCCGGAGTGTGACATGGTGGCTGCATCATCACGGGCTGTGCTTGCGATGACTGTTTTTCCAAGTCAGAACTGGCGTACAAGACCCACCGATGGGTGCTTGTCAAGCGGAATTAACAGACAGGGAAGCAGAAGCAGCGGAGCACAAGGGCCGGAGAGATCCGGTGTCTCCTTTCCAGATCAAGTACTTTTCCAGCGCCTTTATCATCCATCCCACTGGACTCCACACTAGACCCTGGGTCACCCCTCACCTGTGCAGCAGAGGAAGAATCACACAGTCCAACCTCTCGTCTTACAGGTGGGGAAAGTCCTCCACTGTCCACGTGTGTGGAAGAGCAGAGGAGAGCCCGCGTCTGGCCTCTGGGGCCCCTGCCTACTCCAGGGACCTTTCTGTTGGGGCTGCCAGCTTTCCTTGTTCACTAAAGGACACTATTTTTCCCATTAAAAAATAAAGCGCCACAGCGTGCTGTGTACACAGTATTAAAAACACAGAGGAAAAGTGGGGGAAGAAGAAAATAACGCCCACAGCAAGTGCAGCATTTTGATGTGTTTCTTGCCAGATTTCCTATACTTGGAGGTTTTGTTTTTCACATCTTAGGGTCATCCTCTGTGTCACAGAACTTTGTAGCCCACTTTTTCCATTTAACCCATGCAAGTGCTGCTGCCATAATGTTCAAAATGCCACAGCCCTCTCGTTTCCTCTGTACCGTATCACCAAGTAGATGGGTCATTTGTTTCAGTCTCTTACTTTTGGATTTGTGGGTTATTGCCTCATAATTTAAATACCACTTCAGTGAGGATCTTTACTCTCAAAGTCCTTCTCATATTTAGGGTAATCAGTTAAACTAGAGTTCCAGAAGTGGAATTACAGGGTCTAAAGACATCCCAAGCTTTGAAAATGTGCCCACATTGCTCTCCGGAAAGCCTTGTCCCACTCCTCCAGTGCAGTGCGTGTCTTTGCCGCGGCATCCTCACCGGCTGGAAGCAGTTTGGACGATTAAGCGGCTCGGACCACAGCCTGTTCAAGGCTGACACATGCCTAGTTTCTGGTTGGGGGCAAATGGCTGGGAGAAGATGGGCTCATCGAGGAGTCGGTCCCTGCCGTGAACAAGTACTTTACAGTCCATTCAAACCTCAGAAAAGAGCCCTCTGTTTCTCAGGGGAGGAAACGAAGGCTGACAGGTAGAAAATAAATGATCCAGTATCACCGTACCCTGCTGCCTCTCGTGAGGCATCTCCCCAGGACCTGAGGATGACAGGCCAGTGTTATCAGGCTGCACAGGAGGCAGATTGTGATGGGGAGGGCACCTGTCAGGCTGCAGAGGGCTTTCAGAACATTGAAGCCAGTGGGGGGTGGGAGGTTCAAGCATGCTGGGAAAGACTCCTCTGATTCAGTGATTTGAGCGAGAGAGGGCACTTTGAAACTCTTAGATGAGACCACCTGCCGCAGAGACAGAACATCTCTACCCTGGGTGGCCCGCCCTGCTTGGGGTAGGGCTATACTTAGCTCTGATCAGGCTCAGACTGGGAAAGTCGGCTGGGCAGGGTTGGGGCTGGCCCAGGGCTAATCTCTGTGGTCTCTTTGTTTTCCAGGTGTCCACTAGAACAGGCCCCCAGAAGGTAGGCTGGTCTCGTTCCTGGATCCTGGCACCAAAGCCATTCCCAAATAATAGTGAATGATAATACAGCCAGGGACTGTTGTCAGTTTTACATGTGTCAGTTCATCTGATCCTCATAGTAACCTGTGATGTGGTCCAGGTGACGAGACCAAGGAACCAGAGGACTGAAATTTGCAGAGTCAAGTGGCAGAGCCACTCTGTGCCAGAGCCTCGTTCCTAACCACGGCAGCACGGGACGCAGCACTGCCCCTGGCTGTGCACCTTGCTCCTCTTGTGCCCTTGGCAGGTGGCCTAGTGCAGTTCTCACATGCCTGGGCCTCATTTTTCTTGTCTCTAAAATGGGATGAGTAAACTTGAGAGAGTTGCTCTGGAGTTTCGGTCCAGCACGATTAGTCAGAGAGGGTGGAGAGGGGAGGGTGGGGAACTTGCGCTGCCAAGTCTGCTGGACTGACCAGCTAGAGTCCTGTGGCACCTTTCTGCTAACAGTGTGTGGAAGCCAGGAGAGGGGAACAGGGTTTGAGGTCAGATTTGTAGCTGGGGCCCCCATGCCTGGACTTCCCACCAGAGTGCCCCTCAGTCGATGGGACCTCGGGCATGTCGCTTGACCTGCACCGCAGTTTATCTGAAAAAGGAGTATGACATGTCTATTGCAGGGCGGTCATAGTGAGGCCAGATTCACTCCATGTAAAGTACTTAGAAACCTCCTCCCGCTCCCCCAGCACCGCCCAGCTCCTCCTGAGTTCATCTCAGTTGATCTGAGTTCACCTAGTGGGGATCTGGAGCTTGGAGGTGCCCCACACCTGCTGACCCGCGTCCACTCTTTCCCTGCGTTCTGTCTTTCAGGTTGATCCTCGGGACCCACAGTCTCATCAGATCTCGCACAGAGGACGGCAGAGGGTACAGGTTGTGGCTTGGCCGGTTGGCGATCTCCCAACAGCTGGGTCTCCAGCAATGTGAAGCTTTTGTTTGGGTTTTCCCCCGCCTTTTAGTTGCTTAATTTTTTTGTTGTTGTTCTTTTTTTTTTGTCTTTCCTTTTTTTTTTATTTAAACAATTAAGACTTCAGAAGAGCTACGCTGTGGACAGGCACCAGTTTCTTTAAAGAAACCCAATATGGACAACGCATATGTATAAATGTCATTTTTAATTTTTACAAGGGATTAGGGAGCTGTTTTATTTTTGTCCTTTATTTTCCCTATCTTCTTTCTTTTACCCATCTCCTAGTTCTGCTTATAACACCTCACTTCCCCAGGGAAGGTCTGCCTCTCCGTGTAGAATTTGGGGATCTCTCCTGGAATAGGGGGCAAGAAGCCAGAAAGAGGCCTGTGTGCCGCCTCCCACCAGATGCAGGAGCTGCCGGACTCCCTGATGGGCGGTTCCTGGCTGGCCCTTGGGCCTTGTAGATGATCGGAAGCCAAGAACTACCTGGAAGGGGAAGACCAGGGCTCAGCCAGGAGAACTGGAGAAAGAAGATCAAAACTGCGGGTTTGTCCTCCATAAGCTGTTGGCAGCCCCAGGACACACCAGGACTTGCAGCGGTGGGACTCTGTTCCCTCTGCCGCCCTTTATACCTGGGAGTTCTGAGAGGGGAGGGCCAGAAGGTGACCATCTCGTACTTCCTGGCAGGTGGGTGGCCAGCCCACCCCAGCTCTACAAGCCTACCTTTCTGTTAGTGACCTTCCTCCTAGAGGACGAGTCCCAGGAAAAAACTGTCGTGCCAAACCTCTGCCCGGGACACAGCTGGGTCTTTGGTGGGTATCTGTCACTCCTGTGAGGTCAGCACCCATCACCTACTGCCTCCTGGATCATCGTCTTCCCAGGTGTGCCCACCAGACATCCAGGTTGTCAGAGACCTCCCCCGAGTCCCTGTGATCCGGTTGTGACCATTGCCATAAGAACAGGGTGTCCTGAATGGCTACCACTGTCATCTGCTCCCAGTGACAGGTGTGCCCTGTGTGCCGGGCCCCATGCAGTGATGGTGTCAGGCATCGTCTTCCTCACCCCAGGGACTCACTGTTAGGCACCCCCCTCAGTGTAAAGGCGTCTCATGGGGAAAGGGTGGACCTGCCCAGAGCAGGGAGCCTACCGTGCCCCTGATCCCACCACCGTCTGTCTGTACAGCCTTTCTCCCGCCCTCCAGCACTGCTCCTGCAGCCCCCTCCTCCTGGGCCTCTCAAGTGGGGTGTCCTCGCCCCTCGCTCTCCCTTGTCACCCTTCCCTGGAAGCCCCTCGGCTACTCCAGAACCTCACCCGCCTCATTGTGGCCACGCAGGAAAGGGGAAAGGCATTCTTACTTTGTGTTTTGTTTCCTGTTTTCTCTAAACCAGCATAGGATGGATAGGGGAGGTGCTCGAGGGCGTCTCAGTTGGTGTGTGACCAAGGGGGCTTCCCCTCAAAGCCACAGCCCTTCGCCTGGGGAGTTTGGGAGAGACCAGCACAGCGTCAGCCCAAACTCATGGACTCAGCTGCTCACGTTCTTCCCGCCTGTTCACGCCCTCACATCCCAAGGCCGCTTCCTCCTCCTGGGCAGACGGCTGGCTGTGGTTGGCAGCATCCGGCAAGGCTGCAGGTGGTCGGCAGGCCCTTCCCTTCCCTCGGCCGAAGTCCTTTGTCATCGCCTGTCTCTTCTCTCTCCTCTCTGACTTCTCAGCCACCCCTTGAGAGTCCCCTGAGCTGCAGCTGGGAGGCCGCACCCCAGATCGCAGCAGGCGCTCCTTCCCTGCCCATCTCCCTGCCCTCCCTGGGGCAGCCGTCCCTCTGCACGTGGGAGAACGGTCCCCAGACTTGGCACCCGCAACTCTCTCTGGCCGCAGCCCTCGCTCTGAGGACCTAATGAGGGTTCAGGCCTAACAGGTTTTTTGCCTTTTGCTCGTCTTTCCCTTCTGCCCTCCCCCGGTCTCTTCACCCTGCCTAAGGCCTTGGAGCTGTAGGTCACAGGTGTCCATACCTTTTGGGTGAGGTGGGCAGCCTGGGTCGAGGTCACGGCCTCCATGTACCCTCATCTTGTAGGACTTCCAGCCCATCCCTGCTTCGTGGAAGACCCCTGTCCCTCGTTACCCCAAGTGCCTGACTCCTGCCACCCCTGCTTTCCACTTCGTCTGCCTTGGGCGCCCTGTGGCCGGCCAGATGTCAGCTCTGTCAGCCCGCCTCTGCCCAGCTCGGGCGAGCCTTGGTTAGACCCCGGAAGCCTCTCCCTCAGCCCGTCTTCATCTCTTCCCGCCTTTTATCGTCTCCACCTGGGTCTTGGGCCTGGCAGCCGCTCTGGGGCACAGCATCTCAGTGCCACCAAGTCTGTTAGTGCCGTCCAAGTTCTAGGAGTGTCCAGCCCTCATTAGCAGTCAGTTATTCTCTTCTTGGATCTGTGAAAAACATAGCCAGTTGGAGGGAGGATCTGGGCCACAGCCATACGGACCTGAGCTCTGTCTCCCCTCAGTGAGAGGAATCAGGAATCAGCCGGACAGATCATAGTGCCTTATTCCACCCCCACACCCCAGCCCGGACCGGACTGCCCAGCCCAGCTGGAAGTCCACGGCTTCCTTCTCCCTGTCTCTGTCCATCTGTCGTTTAAACTCTCACTCCCACTCACAGATAGCCACCTGGGAAGGATTCCCCCCCGTCCCTCATCCCTTCCTGAGAGCTGTAGCCAGGCACACGGCTCCCCACCCAGCCCAGGGCTCTCAGCAGCAGCTTTCGCTGAGGACAGAACTGTGCTTCAGACAGGGGTGCTCTCGGCCTCCTTCCAGCCCGCAGGTCCCCCGCCTCTTACCTCTAGCCCAGAGGATGCACAGTCTCTGCCTTTGAGACCAGCTCCATCGGACTCCTCCTGGGCACCGGGACTAGGGTCGCAGGCCTTAGCCTCCTCTCATCCCAGAAGCAGTAAGACAGAGAACGGGAATTCCTTCTTCTCACTCGGATGTGGTTTGCGCCCCACGGCTGCCTTTCCGAGGGAGTGTATTCAATGTTACTTAAGAAATACCCTGTTTACAGCTGGAGGAGAAACGTACCCAATGCTGGGTGGAGATTTAATCCCTGGAGGGGGCCTGGCCTACTTCATGGCACTGCCGGTGGTGACCCCAGAGTGAGTGAAGGCAGGGGGCCGGGGCGCTGGCCCTGCGCCCCGTCTGCCCCCGATCCTGCGGTGCTAAGACCACCTTCCTCACGGCCTTCCTGCCCTTGGACATTCCCCGCCTCCCTCGTTCCCTTCCTCCAAGCGTCTTGGCTCCTTAACATAGCAGTTATCGCCTAGAAAACCAGTGTTTGGAGCAATAAGATTATTATTATTTTTTGCTTGAGTCTTTTTCTAAGAAAAGGAGAAGAGCTGGCATTGTGGGAATCTTTCTTTTTTTGCTGTTGGCTGTTTACCTTTTCAGAAGACAGATCTTACTTGGGTGGATGTCTGGGTTTCAGCCTCGGGGTATCTTCAGGAAGCTTAGAGAGGCAGGGCCTCCCCCCCTAACTGCCCCTGCCCTGCTCCGCACTGCCTGGGCTCCCAGCCCTGCCCACCAAGCGCTCCGCTCTCCCTGCCTACCTGCGGGGCACTGGTGGCTCTGCCTCCGAGTGGGGCTCTTGGGTTCTTGATCCTTTCCTCACCCTGGGCCTGTCTGGTGGCCCCCAGACAGGCATTGCCGCTGGAGTCTCCTAGGACCTGGCGACCTGAGAAGAACGTGCTCTGTGGGCCCCAGGCCTGGGGCTGAGGCACAGCCTTGTAGACATCCTGGGCCGTCTCTGATCCTGCCCTGCCCAGGCCTAGAGGGCAGGGGCTCCTGTCTGGAGAGAGACCCTGGATGGGGGGGTCAGGGACTGGGAGTGTGCCGTGAGATCAGCTCGTGTCAGCATCCACAGCGGTCAAGGGATGAGTCCACTGCCCTCGGTTCCCAGAGCCCCCAGGACAGCAGCGGAGGTGGGAAGGAGGCCCCGTGTCTTTCCCATGAGAGGCCACAGGAGGAAGGGAGTTTATTTAGGGTCGTTTTAAAGCAATCTTTTTGTGCTCCAGGCGCCTCTCCATTAGGGCAGAGGAGTTTGTTGCAATGATTTAACACTCATGTGGGGCCAGCTTGGGTGTGAGGGAGGATTTGACCCAGGCACAGAGTTAGTTACAAAGACTAGTTAATAAATCTATTTTTCTTTATTTTCTTTTTTTGCACAGAAGCTGGTAATCTAGGACCTACGTGTGAACAACTTTATATATGAATATTTTTTGTACTTGGTTTACTTGGGTTGGTATGATACATTATATTTAAGTTCCTTGAACACTGTGGATCCCCCTAATGTGTATGAATGACTGAGGCTTTGTAAATTAAGGGACGTTTGTGTGAATAAAGTTATTTGATGGGGTCAAAGAAGCCATACGTGATTTGAAAAGCAGTGCTTTGTGGTTTTGTTGCCTCCTGTTTGGAGGAGCTTGTTCAGGGCCCGGTGGGTGAGGGGTGGGAAGATGGGACCCCCTGCTGCTTGGAGAGAAAACGCCTGGTGGCTGTGAGTGGCCTTCCCACGGCGCCCGGGGCAGGCACTGGGCAGCAAGGAACCCCACACGTGAGGGTCGGGAGGCCACACCAGGCCTGGTCTGCCCTCCCCAGTGTCCCAGGGCCCAGCCAGCACTGCCAGCCCCTCCAGACATCTCCAAGGCCCTTCCAGCCACAGCAGCAAGGGGAAGGGGGCTCTCCCCTTGAAAAGCTCAGCAGGGAGGTGGGCTCTCAGAGGGGCAGGGCAGCTCTGTGGGTGGAAGGGGTAGCACCCATGTCCGGAGAGCAGTGGTTGGCCTGGGGGTAAGAGAAAGGGCGTGTAGCCATCTCCCTCTGCCTGGCCAGCAAATGCCACATCCCGTGAGGAAGGAGGACTGGCATTTATTAAAGGCCAGGTGCTTCTGTTAACCTCCACTGGCCTGCGTGGTAGGTGTGCGTGCCCCTCTGCTGATGAGAAAACCAAAGCCCAGAGAAATCCAGAACACTTGGTGCCCCAGGAGACCCACATGCCTCACGCCGGCTGGGACGGCGATTCAGCCTCGCAGCACGTCCCTCTCAGGTACAGGGGCGGTGATGATAGCTACCTTCAGGGCAGTTAGAGGTTAATAAGAACCTAGTATTGGGCCCAGTACTTGGCACTCTCAATAAATGGTTCTATAGTTCCCTTTTCCCGAAGAGAGACTTGGGATCCTCCGGAAGTCTGCTGGACCCAGAGCTCTGACCCGGCACCTCACAGCCTCGGGAAAGCTTGCCAACCCGGTCAGGTTTGGTGCTGGACGAGGCGCCCACCACCCGGGCTTTTCCTGAGGAGGCCTGGTGAGCCGAGGAGTAACAGCCGCAGGAGGACAGTCAGGACTTTGGAATGTAGGTTGGGAGAGAAAGATAAGACGGGCTTCCTGGCCGATCTGAGAGTCCGCACGCTGCGTTCCAGGCCCGAGCGTTGGTGTCCAGTGGCTTCTGCCGAGGAAACTTCCTGCAAAGGATACATCTGTGCTGAGCCCGGGCGCTGGCCTGGACCTTGGAGAAGAACGACCCACAAGGATGTTTCTTTTTAATAACTGCTGAGATTATTCACCCTTTTGAAGTGTGTAGGCTAGTGGGTTTCAGTATGTTCAGAGTTGTGCAACCATCACCACTAATTCCAGAACGTTGTTATTGCCTCAGAAAAGAAACACATGCCCATCAGCAGTCATCCCCTCCCAAACTCGCGCCCCCAGCCCCAGGCAACCGCTAATCTACCTTTTGTGGCTATGGATTTGCCTCTTCTGGACGTTCCAGATAAACGGACTCATACAATAGTGACCTCCGGGCCGGCTTCTCTCGCTTCATGTTGTTTTCAGGGCTCGTCAGTGTCCTAGTGTATATCAGTGCTTCCTTCCTTTTTACTGCTGAATAGTATCGCATTGTATGGAGATACCAAATTTTTTTACTCACTATTACGAATAATGTAAGCATTCCTGTACAAGTTTTTCCACGGGCATGTTTTTAATGCCCTCGGGCACATACATATTTATGGCAGAATTGCTGGGTCATACAGTCACAGCATAATTTTTGAGGACCTGCCACATTGTTTTCCAAAGAGGGAGCACCATTTTACATTCCCACCAGCCACGTGCGAGGGTTTTCCTTTCTCCACATCTTTGCCCACGCTTGTTACTGTCTTTGTTGTCTTGTTATGGACGTCTATGGCCTTGCACTGCCAATGGTGGGTGAGGGGAGACTAGCAAATAGTTACTTAGATTCAGATCCAATCAGGCGCTGGGTGCAGGGCTCAGAGAACAGACTGGTTCTGCTGTTTGTTGGCTCCTTGACCTTGAGGCAGATGGCCTTTCTGATTTCATTTGCCTGTCTGCAAAGTAGGAAATACCCACTTCGTATGCTGGTTGGCAGGACTAAAGGTTTTTCATGCCACATACATGGTTGGCACCAGAGCATTTCCATATCTCCCCGTGTCCCGGGCACTGGGGGGTTAATTTGGGCAGAGATCAGAAATGAGGGGGCTTGGAGGACCACAGTATGTCCGATTTGGGCCTGGGTGATGAAGAATATGGGGCGTATTGCTATAACACGGGGTCTGTTGAGGCCAGACTGCAGAGGAGAGAGGTGCGTCCCCCAGGCCCTGGAGGGAAGAAGGATCTAGAGCGCCCAGAGCAGGCCAGTGTCCACTCCAGTGGAAGGGGAAGTTAGGCACCTGGCCTTCACTGACAGTCCCCTCTGCCCTGCTTCCTCATGTCCCTCTAGTTCCAGCCTCTGGCTTAATCACTTGGTAAATACCTGCTCCCAGTCACCTACTCAGTGCTTGTGAACCAGGCAGGCCCTGCAGACAGGGGGTTCCAGGTCCAGAGGAGGAAGGTCTCGGAAAAGCCAGGCATATCCTGGAGTGCCAGACCTGGGACAGAAGGATGTTCTGGGGCTTGTGAACTAGGGCAGGGTGGAGCGTGACCCAGGCCCTCCGCCCTCTCCAGGCCGTGCTGTGTGGCCCGTCCACCTGCAGGGCCCTGACAGATTGCAGTGAGCACTGCACCCTCTTCCTTTTCTAGCCTTTCGACTTGGAGAGTTGTGGCATCTCCCCACCTCCCAGGTGGTTTTCGCCTCATGTCCCACCCCGAGGAGAGCCTGTGGCCTTGAGACCCATCCCTTGGTTCAGCCTCCAAGCTTCCTGGATCATCAGTGCTTCCACATTGAACACCTAGTAACAGCTCCTGACACTAATGTTCGGGAAATGCAAAACCAGATCATCTTTGCAGCTCTCAGATCCTAATTCCCTGTCAGGGGACCTTAGCCGCCCCATCCTGTTTCACCTGGGGCTGGAATCACTTCCTTCTTGCAAAAGCCTCCAATAATTGCCTCTGCTTGGTCTACTTGTTCCTTGAGGGCAATCGGAATATGAGGAATTTAATAACCATGGTCTGGGTCTCCTGCCAAATGCAGTAAGGCCCCAGCTCAGACAACTCGAATGTGGTGAGAACACAGAGAGAAGCTCCCCCAGCCAGCAGACCGAGGCCCCTGCCAAAACCCTCGCATTCCTGCTTCCCATGCTGGCAGAGCCCTGCCGCCCTCCAGCTCATGCTCACCCGATGTGATGAGTAACTCAAGGTCTGCTGGGAGGCACCTGCAGTCAGCGGTGCTGACCCAGAACCTTCTGAGAGCCTGCCTGGTTTGGAACTTGCTCTGCCTCTTTAAAGACAGCCCATGGGGCTGACTGCATGAAGTCATCAGGGGTCCCATCTCCTTCTGGCTTCCTGCTCCAACGTCTTTAGCAAAGGGCCTCCGCCTTTAAGGTCACCTCCCGGTCCAGGAAGCCTGCTGGAGCTTCGGGCATTTTCCCTTCATCCCAGGCAACAGCAAAGAGGGAGGGAAGAAAAACGAGTGCCCCGTCCTTTTATGGCACAGTCCCCCAAAACCCCTACCACCCTGCCACTTACCTCTCATTGGCTAGAACTTAGCATGAGGCCACATCTGGTTCCAATGAGGCTGGGACCCAACGGGGGCAGTGGACCAACCTCACTATGGTTGAGGGGAGACTGAGTGTTGGGTCGGCAAATAGCGAGCATGCCTCTGGTTCATTCTAATAAAGGTTAGGCATCACCATTATTAATAATAGCACCGCAGCCTTGGGTTCAAAAAGAAAATACTCGAGTTAGCCAGAGGGGATCTGGGGCACCTTACTCAGAGCTGGGCAAAGGGCACCTATGCGGTGCATCCAGGGGGACTACCTGCTGCTGGGAGGGCTGTTGACTTTGGTTCTTCCCTTACTCAGTGACTCTGTATTGAGCGCCGTCCGTCCACGTGGCAGCACTCTTCTAAGACAGGGGATACAGGAGAGATGGGTGAAGAGGCAGCATTTTGTGACAATTAAGAGAGTGGGGTCTGAAATACAGTGCCTGGGTTAGAGTCCCAGGTCTGCCACGTCCTGTGTGGTCCTGGGCAAGTTACTTAACCTCTCTGGGCTTCGTGGTCTTCACTTCTAAGATAGAGAATGTGATAAACATCATCACAAGATTACTCTGAATTCTGAATGAATTAAGACAAATGAAATACTTTGAACACTGGAAAACAAAACTGCGATCTCTTCAGTGAGCTCACGGAGCTCCTCGACACCTAGTTTGCGTTCTTCCCTTTACCTTGAGTATCCACTGAGCACCTATTTTGCTGGGCACTGCAGACAACTCAAAGATGAAATACATCTAGACCTGTATTCCCTCATCACAGGGATGTTTCTGAGCCCTCAGCTGTGCCAAACTCCATGTCCCAAGCTGACAGTCCTGAAGGAGCCTAGGTGGAGGTGCAGTCAGGCGAGGGACACACAGGGAACATATCCTGAGAACTTTGGTCCAGGCAAGATAGGCCTAAGGGGCTAAGAGACTTTCGTTGGTCCCAGTCTCCCTGTGGGGTGCAGCCTGTCCCCATCTGTTTCCCATAGTTCTGGTCAGGCATCCAGGCCTGTGGACAGGACTCAGGAGACAAGGCCACCCAATTCCAGCATAGAAAAGTTGTCCTTTGTTTTCCCAGGTCATCAGATGAGCAGTAATTGGGGAACAAAAGATGATTAGCCGTGGATGCCTGCAAAGCTGAGCCAGCCGCTCTCACCCCAGAGTCCAGCTAGGTCTCTGCTCTCAGGGCCCCAAATTCACTTCCCAGGGCCATTTCTCTGGATCCTCCCTCCCCGCAACACACACACACGCACACGCACACGCACACGCACACACCCTATTCTTGAGCCCCTCACCCACCCTCCCCAGCCAGCTTTGGAGAGTAGTTAATAAACTGAGTTCTGCCCGCCTGTGTCAGTTATTAATTTTTTGCCTCTCGTTCTAAAGTCTCCTTCAATATGTGCTTTAGAATAAACAACAGAATTCCTTTAAGAGTTCCTTCTTTAAAGTGAGCACAATTTTAAGC